AGCCCCGGTACCGTGTCCTGCCGCAGCGCCAGCAGCTCCCCCGGCATTGCTGCTGCTCGGGGGATGCGGAGACGAAGAGACTCGTCCCGGGAGCCGAGCGCTGCGGGCGTTACACAAGCGCACGGAGCCTGTGATGGATCCAGGCCTGGCGTGGGCAGAGCCGCCCATCGCCCATCGCCCCTCCCGGGGGCGCCGGCACAGCCCGAGTCTCAGCTCGGCCACCACTTGCTGAGTTAGTTGTAATACACGTGTTCCTGTTGGGCGTCGTGGCCGCTCGGCTTTGGTTATAGTGATGTGTAATTTTATGGAAAAAGAGCAGCAGATAAACCATTTCAGAATTAAGGCCGAGCCTTTCTCCTGCCTTCCTAGCACTGCACATCCGTGTGGATGCACAGCGACGTGGTACAGCCACAAACTTATGGAGCATCAGAGAAACTACGTCTACAGTAGTTGATACTAAAATAAGCTATTTCCAGCTTTAACTGCAGTCTGTTTTCTAGGCTGTAATAGTCACTGGATCCGTGTGCTGAGTTGCAAAAATTCACAGAATATGTTTGTACAAAGACTTCACTGTTTGATTTAAAGCAGGATATTAATGGCAGCATGATAAACACGGAGCCAAAAGGAAAGAAGAGGGTAATAGAAATGAATTAAGAAGGGCAAAGAAGAAAGTAAAATGTTAAATCATTTGGGAACACAGAATTCCTATTGCACTGCTTTGAGTAATGATTAGAAAGTTCTCTCTTCTCCCCACACAGATGCCATTAACTTCTTATGAAAGTGTCAAAAAGGCTTGAAAAGAAAAAGTCAAGGAGAAAACTAAGGAGTTTGGCTTATAGACCGTTTCATAAATAGACTGTCTTGAAAGTCTGTGTTTGAATGTGTGCATTTTAATAAAAAATGCAGAAAGTGAATGTGATTTGGAGCAGTAGTGGTCATTTCTCAGTGGGTTTTTTACAGTAGTGGTGATAAAGTCTTCTTACTTACAACAGAGGATAAACTAGCAATATCAATCAAAGTCTTATAACAACTGTAGTAGATGGCAATCTTCTGGAAAAGAATTCAAATGCAGAAGTAAAAATGTGTGTGAGAAGGAAAAATATAGAGTTCCTAAGCATAACATCTTATTCTTACATTTGCTACCCATATTAATTCATTGTATGTTTTGCACCTGACATTGGCTCATTTCATGGGCAGAACAAGATGGGAAAAAAAAAAATCTATATAAATTCTATAAAGAATATCAGCTCCTGTTCAAAATATCCAGCCAGCTCAGGACAGACTCAAGCATACATCTATTGTTAAAAATGTACTAAGAGGGGCGAAGGGATGAACTTAACAGAATGCCTACATGTAGATGCTACAAGTAGACTTGTAGCTTTGTCTAGGTACTATAAATGTAAAACTTAAAGGAACATAAAACTGGAGGGAGCCACCCTAACCATGGAGTTGCCTGAAATAATGGGAAGCCATGCAGAGGATACCAAATTTAGGAGATGCCTGTAATTCAGCCACAGTGTCTGTGATGGCCTGCAAAGGCCTAGCAGGTACTACTTCCTAGTGGTTGATAACAAACTTTTGGTATGTTATAGAAGACCAAAAGCCAAGTGATACGTCACAAGAAGGGAGGAGAGATCAAGAGCATCAGTGTTGTCATAGATGTCTGTGCAAACAAGATAATTGTATCTCCTACAGGATACTATGAAGCAGACATGCCATACAGTGTAGAAGAGGGTGAAAAACCCAAGGGTAGCTGCTAGTAAGACCTGGAAAAATCCTGAACTCAGATCTGGAAATGCAGGAGGCTTAGATCCCTTCTTACCTCTGAGACATCTTGCTGTATGATCTTGTGGTGAATTGTCTTCTCTCATGGTGTTCCAGCTGACTCCTTGTAAAATGTCCATAACAGTGAACTTCTGGGAGCGTAAAGAGTCCTAGCTGATATAAAATAGCTGAAGTTTTCTTTGGATGACAGGTACTCAATAAAGACAGGAGAATTTGTTTAATAACAAGGACTTTGAGCAGTACCTGTTACTGCACAATTAATTCATTGCTCTGCTCCTCTGGTTTGTACAAGTACACCCTGACATCAGCCTTCAGGCAGAACCAGGCTCAGATTAACTTCACTTTTACCTAAAACTAACTATGGTGGCTGAACTGTGACCTCAACGGAGTGATTGCCTGAGGCATAGAGGTGATGGTAAGGAGCTGCGCATAGTGGTGAAATTTTTTTGGTACAGCTGGATCAATAAAAGGGTGTCCACCTGTGGCCTAGTAGCTTCCTAGTCTAAATGAGAGCAGCGACTTGCTGAGAAACTAATGCACTGCAGGAGGATCCAAATGACATATTTTAAATGAACAATTTGGATTATCATTTCAAAATAACAGGTCAAAGAAATAAAATAAATTACCTTCTGGAATAAGATTGCTTCGTTCTGCGCTTAGTAAAAAAAAAACAATTTTGAAGAGAAGCTATTTATCTGTTTTCTTGTTGTGGTTATTGTTGTTGCTGGTTTTGTTTGGTTGTTGTTGTGTTTGTTGTTTGTTTTTTTTTTTTCTTATTTTAACCTGTAACAGACCAGAAGAAAATGCTCTGAGATAAACCAAAAGCAACTTCTCCCTTAAGCATGGAAGCTTCACTCCTCCATGCACTGGTTGGTCTAGTTATGAAGACAAGTTACTGTCACAGGTCTGTTTGGGTTTCATGTTAGTGTTCAGACTGAAAGCAGCTTAGGAGAATCTAATTTGCTTCCCACTGTGTAAGTCCTAAGAAGTGAGGATCAGTTAGTTACTGCTTCTTAGCTGAGAAGCAACTACTTTTAGTGGAAGGAAGATCATATTTTTAAACACTAATTCATCTTTTTTATGATTGTGAGCATTGCTTTGTTATTTATACCAGAATTACCTAAGGAAATGCAGCTGTGCCCTTCTCATGCATGCAGGCTAAATCAAACCTTTGTGTCTATTTTATCTTCCTAATGTTTAGGGGTTTTTTTTCCTGCTAGACATGGAAATAATGGAAGCTGTGGGATTTCTGAATATATTCCAGTAGGAAGTGAGTTAAAATAACTAAAAAAAAAAAGACACTGATTAGGAAAGCTGTAACAAGTAGCTTGATTTTATATTTAGAAGCCACCTTTTTAATTCTGAGCATCTAATTTTTCCTGTTGAGCTCTTTCATCCCACTGAAAGGTTTTAACTATGTAGCAAATTCTTTCAGAGTCCTCGGATAGATAGTAAATGGAAGACAATTAAAACTGATCTTTAGCTTCCAAACTCCTACTCTTCTGAAACTTTGAATATGAATCTGTAGTGAAATTAATTTGCTACTGTTTTCACAGATTTATGTGATACTCTTATTATGGGCCCTTTACCTGTTCTGCCATATATTGTTACTTCTAAGGTGTCTTACTTGGCCCCAAGACATCTGGCTGTGTGCTGGACTGAGAAACTGTGTGAATAGTAGTACTTCAAAAGCCTGTTTCCAGCAGAGTAATTTATTGTTCATTAGGAGGGGATTTCAAGACATTATCTTTGTTTATCATCCTTTCAGATATACTCTGCCAAAAGGAAACAAATGAAAGTGACTCCAGCATTGATATTCCAAATGGCATCTATTTATGCAATCTCATCATTCCCTAATGATTAAGCAAGTTATGGGGGAAGTGAAACTATTTAAATCAGAAAGGAATTTTTCTCTTTTAATATGGGTACTCTGTCTGTCTTCTCTGTCCATCAAGTGGGGCTAAATCCATTCTCCTGTTGAAGCTGCTTAGGCATCCTGGCATGATGAGGAGCACTGGTATTTTAACACTGCATCTTTTGTACCAATCAGAGGTAAGAGGATTTCTTCTCTGCAACGATCTCATGGGTGCTGCAGTGAGACTTGTCCTTCAGGCTTAATTGACAAGAATAAAAACTGATTGAATGAATTAATCTACCACATTTCCAGTTTTTTAAGGAGAGGTTTTTGCTACATCTCTGTGGCAGCCTATTTACAGGCTTTAGAAAGTGGTTGTATTGCCTGTGTCCGTACATCAATGTCTTTCATTTTCCTAAATCTGAAATCCAGTTCTGGTCCTCTGTGAAAATTATGTGTCTGTTCCAGAGTGAGATCCTAACCCACCACTTACTGTGACGAGATGGTAAAACTCAGTCGAGCACAACAGATTTGAGGAAGGGCAGTCTCTGATCATACCATCTTCAGGTGAAGATAGCTCAGACAAGTCAATAGTGCCATTCCACCTTTTGCAGACAGTGAGTTACACAGCCAGCACATAGCACTCTCCAGAACTGAAACTGGATGAGAGTAGAGGTGTTTGTGCACTGATTTCTAATCCATTGAAATGAGTTTATGCACCAATGCTGCAGATTTTAGCATATGTTTGTTCTACTAATTTTGTATCTTTGATTGTGCATATCTGATCCTACGCTTTATATTTGCTCCCTTTACAAAGCATTCAGAAGGATTTATCCACAGCTTGCTGTGCAGAAAAGTAGATTGTTGACACATGGATACTGCCTGTTGAATTAATGGACCTAACACATATTGAAATACCCACATTTGAATAAAATCTGTTATTATTGGTTCTAGAATTTGATGTCACTTGTGTATGGGGGTTGCCCTGTCAATATGGCTGACACTGGGGTTGCTTTCACTAATTCAGGGAGAATTTTTGCCATTTTCTGAGAGATTAACTCAGCCAGAGATTGTCAGTCTTGGTGGGAATGTCTATAACCTCTGCAGGCTTGAGCAAATATGTTAGAAGAGTTAGAATGCATGCTGACAGGTTCCTGATGCCGGCGCCTCTAGTCTGGGGACTCTACAGGAAACTGGTACAGAGAGGAGACACAGGACCAGGACTGCTGTCAAGGGAGAAGCAGATTAATCTGACATAACATTGAGGGAAATTTTTCATTGCTTGCTGATTTGGAAGTCCTTGGGAGTTCTGACAACAGTATAGGTGCAAATATGGTAAAAGAGCAGCTCAGTGGTTGTCATAAAAAATACAATTGTCAAAAATCAAGACAACTGGATAGCAAATATACAAGCTAGATAGCCAAAGTAGAAAGCAGAGGGAAAGACATTGTGTTAGCACTGAGTCTTGTAACACATGATGTTGAGGGTGATCAGGAATTTATCCTAACCTTTGTAACACTTCATTTTT